AAACGCTTGGGTTTTCCCACGAAAAACGACCTTGTGTCACGTCTTGACCCCGTGGGGTCAAGTAATCCCACGAAAAACGACCTTGTGTCACATCTTGACCTCGTGGGAGTCAAGTAAATACCGCCGGCCCGGGAGCAGCCCGGCCTTCGGGCTGGGTTGCGACCCATGGCAAAGTCTAGTTTGGACCATATCAGGACCTGCTAAGACAAGCCAAGACCAACTTGGACCAGAACTTGACTAAGCTTTGACCAGCTTGGACATGTTATGACCAAAACATTGACTAAGCCTTGACCAGCTTGGACATGTTATGACCAATCTTTGACCAGTGACCCTATGCGGAAACGCTTGGGTTTTTCCCACGAAAAACGACCTTGTGTCACGTCTTGACCGCGTGGGAGTCAAGTAATCCCACGAAAAACGACCTTGTGTCACATCTTGACCTCGTGGGAGTCAAGTAAATACCGCCGGCCCGGGGGAGAAGCCCGGCCTTCGGGCTGGGTTGCGACCCATGGCAAAGTCTAGTTTGGACCATATCAGGACCTGCTAAGACAAGCCAAGACCAACTTGGACCAGAACTTGACTAAGCTTTGACCAGCTTGGACATGTTATGACCAAAACATTGACTAAGCCTTGACCAGCTTGGACATGTTATGACCAATCTTTGACCAGTGACCCTATGCGGAAACGCTTGGGTTTTTCCCACGAAAAAACGACCTTGTGTCACGACTTGACCGCGTGGGAGTCAAGTAATCCCACGAAAAACGACCTTGTGTCACATCTTGACCTCGTGGGAGTCAAGTAAATACCGCCGGCCCGGGGGAGCAGCCCGGCCTTCGGGCTGGGTTGCGACCCATGGCAAAGTCTAGTTTGGACCATATCAGGACCTGCTAAGACAAGCCAAGACCAACTTGGACCAGAACTTGACTAAGCTTTGACCAGCTTGGACATGTTATGACCAAAACATTGACTAAGCCTTGACCAGCTTGGACATGTTATGACCAATCTTTGACCAGTGACCCTATGCGGAAACGCTTGGGTTTTCCCACGAAAAAACGACCTTGTGTCACGACTTGACCGCGTGGGAGTCAAGTTTCCTACGAAAAACGACCTTGTGTCACATCTTGACCTCGTGGGAGTCAAGTAAATACCGCCGGCCCGGGGAGCAGCCCGGCCTTCGGGCTGGGTTGCGACCCATGGCAAAGTCTAGTTTGGACCATATCAGGACCTGTTAAGACAAGCCAAGACCAACTTGGACCAGAACTTGACTAAGCTTTGACCAGCTTGGACATGTTATGACCAAAACATTGACTAAGCCTTGACCAGCTTGGACATGTTATGACCAATCTTTGACTACGAAAAAGTGACCCTATGTGGAAACACTTGGGTTTTTCCCATGCGTGAAAAAAAACGGTTTTTGTGTCACGACAATCTTTGACCAGTGACCGCGTGGGAGTCAAGTATTCCCACGAAAAACGACCTTGTGTCACATCTTGACCTCGTGGGAGTCAAGTAAATACCGCCGGCCCGGGGAGCAGCCCGGCCTTCGGGCTGGGTTGCGACCCATGGCAAAGTCTAGTTTGGACCATATCAGGACCTGCTAAGACAAGCCAAGACCAACTTGGACCAGAACTTGACTAAGCTTTGACCAGCTTGGACATGTTATGACCAAAACATTGACTAAACCTTGACCAGCTTGGACATGTTATGACCAATCTTTGACCAGTGACCCTATGCGGAAAACACTTGGGTTTTTCCCACGCGGAAACGTCAAAAAAAAACGACCTTGTGTCACGATTGACCGCGAGCAGACCTTCGGTCTGGGTTGCGACCATTTAGTTTGGACCTTGACCCGTGCGGGAGTCAAGTAATCCCACGAAAAACGACCTTGTGTCACATCTTGACCTCGTGGAGTCAAGTAAATACCGCCGGCCTTGGGGAGCAGCAACGGCCTTCGGGCTGGGTTGCGACCCATGGCAAAGTCTAGTTTGGACCATATCAGGACCTGCTAAGACAAGCCAAGACCAACTTGGACCAGAACTTGACTAAGCTTTGACCAGCTTGGACATGTTATGACCAAAACATTGACTAAGCTTTGACCAGCTTGGACATGTTATGACCAATCTTTGACCAGTGACCCTATGCGGAAACGCTTGGGTTTTTCCACGAAAAAACGACCTTGTGTCACGTCTTGACCGCGTGGGAGTTTCCCACGAAAAACGACCTTGTGTCACATCTTGACCTCGTGGGAGTCAAGTAAATCCGCCGGCCAGGGAAGCAGCCCGACCTTCGGGCTGGGTTGCGACCCATGGCAAAGTCTAGTTTGGACCATATCAGGACCTGCTAAGACAAGCCAAGACCAACTTGGACCAGAACTTGACTAAGCTTTGACCAGCTTGGACATGTTATGACCAAAACATTGACCGTTGACCAGCTTGGAAAATTTTGACCAGTGTCCCTATGCTTGAAACGCTTGGGGTTTTCCCACGAAAACGACCTTGTGTCGACCCGCGTGGAGTCAAGTAATCCCACGAAAACGACCTTGTGTCACATGGACCCCATATCAGGACCTGCTAAAACCGCTTGGCCCTGGGGAGAAGCCTTCGGACAAGCGACCCATGGCAAAGTCTAGTTTGGACCATATCAGGACCTGCTAAGACAAGCCAAGACCAACTTGGACCAGAACTTGAGGACCTAAGCTTTGACCAGCTTGGACATGTTATGACCAAAACATTGACTAAGCTTTGACCAGCTTGGACATGTTATGACCAATCTTTGACCAGTGACCCTATGCGGAAACGCTTGGGTTTTTCCCACGAAAAACGACCTTGTGTCACGTCTTGACCGCGTGGGAGTCAAAGTAATCCCACGAAAAACGACCTTGTGTCACATCTTGACCTCGTGGGAGTCAAGTAAATACCGCCGGCCGGGGGAACAGCCCGGCCTTCGGGCTGGGTTGCGACCCATGGCAAAGTCTAGTTTGGACCATATCAGGACCTGCTAAGACAAGCCAAGACCAACTTGGACCAGAACTTTGACTAAGACCAAAACTTTGACCAGCTTGGACATGTTATGACCAAAACATTGACTAAGCGTTGACCAGCTTGGACATGTTATGACCAATCTTTGACCAGTGACCCTGTGCGGAAACGCTTGGGTTTTTTCCACGAAAAACGACCTTGTGTCACGACTTGACCGCGTGGGAGTCAAGTAATCCCACGTAAAACGACCTTGTGTCACATCTTGACCTCGTGGGAGTCAAGTAAATACCGCCAGCCCGGGGAGCAGCTCGGCCTTCGGGCTGGGTTGCGACCATGGCAAAGTCTAGTTTGGACCATATCAGGACCTGCTAAGACAAGCCAAGACCAACTTGGACCAGAACTTGACTAAGCTTTGACCAGCTTGGACATGTTATGACCAAAACATTGACTAAGCGTTGACCAGCTTGGACATGTTATGATCAATTTTTGACCAGTGACCCTATGCGGAAACGCTTGGGTTTTCCCACGAAAAACGACCTTGTGTCACGTCTTGACCGCGTGGGAGTCAAGTAATCCCACGAAAAACGACCTTGTGTCACATCTTGACCTCGTGGGAGTCAAGTAAATACCGCCGGCCCGGGGGAGCAGCCCGGCCTTCGGGCTGGGTTGCGACCCATGGCAAAGTCTAGTTTGGACCATATCAGGACCTGCTAAGACAAGCCAAGACCAACTTGGACCAGAACTTGACTAAGCTTTGACCAGCTTGGACATGTTATGACCAAAACATTGGGTTTTCCCACGAAAAAGCCTTGACCAGCTTGGACATGTAAATGACCAATCTTTGACTAGTGACCCTATGCGGAAACGCTTGGGTTTTTCCCACGAAAAACGACCTTGTGTCACAGTCTTGACCGCGTGGGAGAGCAAGTAATCCCACGAAAACGACCTTGTGTCACATCTTGACCTCGTGGGAGTCAAGTAAATACCGCCGGCCCTGGGGAGAAGCCCGGCCTTCGGGCTGGGTTGCGACCCATGGCAAAGTCTAGTTTGGACCATATCAGGACCTGCTAAGACAAGCCAAGACCAACTTGGACCAGAACTTGACTAAGCTTTGACCAGCTTGGACATGTTATGACCAAAACATTGACTAAGCGTTGACCAGCTTGGACATGTTATGACCAATCTTTGACCAGTGACCCTATGCGGAAACGCTTGGGTTTTTTCCACGAAAAAACGACCTTGTGTCACGACTTGACCGCGTGGGAGTCAAGTAATCCCACGTAAAACGACCTTGTGTCACATCTTCACCTCGTGGGAGTCTGGTAAATACCGCCGGTTTTGGGGAGCAGTTTGGCCTTCGGGCTGGGTTTGCGACCCATGGCAAAGTCTAGTTTGGACCATATCAGGACCTGCTAAGACAAGCCAAGACCAACTTGGACCAGAACTTGACTAAGCTTTGACCAGCTTGGACATGTTATGACCAAAACATTGACTAAGCCTTGACCAGCTTGGACATGTTATGATCAATTTTGACCAGTGACCCTATGCGGAAACGACATTGTGTTTGACCGGTTTCCCACGAAAAACGACCTTGTGTCACATCTTGACCCCGTGGGGAGTCAAGTAAATACCGCCGGCCCGGGGAGCAGCCCGGCCTTCGGGCTGGGTTGCGACCCATGGCAAAGTCTAGTTTGGACCATATCAGGACCTGCTAAGACAAGCCAAGACCAACTTGGACCAGAACTTGACTAAGCTTTGACCAGCTTGGACATGTTTATGACCTTGACCAAAACATTGACCAGTGACCCTTGACCAGCTTGGACATTTTATGAAAAACGACCTTGTGTCCCGTCTTGAACCGCTGGGGTTTTTTCCCGAAAAACGACCTTGTGTCACATCTTGACGACCTCGTGTGGAGTCAAGTAAATACCGCCGGCCCGGGGAGCAGGAAGCCTCCCCTGATTCGCGACTTTGACGCGCCCAGTCAAGTCGACCAGCTTCCAGCACTCTTGCACCTTCCAGCTCACTCCTGCAGTTTCCAGCTCTCTCCTGCACCTTCCAGCACTCCTGCACCTTCCAGCTCTCCTGCAGCTTCCAGCACTCCTACAGCTTCCAGCAGTCTCCAGCTCACCCCTGCGGCGCTCTACTGACGTCCCGCGACCTATTCCAGCTCCCGCTGACGACCTTATCCAGTGCCCACTGACGTCTAGCGCCCGTTATCGTCCGGACACCTTTCAAACGACCTCTGTCTTCTTACCGTGCACCGTTTGCAAATAAAGACACGATTTCCATCGTCTACAACGGACCATCTGCGTTTGTCATCCTTCTTTGCTATTGCCATCTCCTTGCCCTTGTGTCCCCTTTTTAGTTGTACGGTCGATTGGCACTCACACCTCTCGGCCCGCTGCAACAATACCCATTATTGCATAATGTTCTCATTATAAAACTAATCTCATTGTTGAGGAACTCTTCAGAACAGATCATCAATGCTCTATGCTTTAAAGTTTTTACAAGGTTTATTTTGTGCTTGTATAAACTCAAAAAAGTAAACTTTCTATAAACTGAGGTAAAAAAAATGTTGGTGTACGATGCATCAATACATCCAAGAAAGTAAGTTTAGATTAGAGTTAATCTCTTTCTCAACAGTAAACCTCAGAGAAAGATGAAGATTATTAAGGAAGGAGAGAAATTGATCAGCTTCAGTTTCATCATTAAAGAAGCAAAATGTATCATCAACGTAACGATGATACAAAGAGGGATATAATTGTGTCAAAGAATTAGGCCCAAACTATCAGATCTCTTATGGTAATATAGCACATGTAAGAGAAAGAAAAAAAAACACAAAAATAAATATTCCCTGCAAAATAAAGTCCCACTTCATTTTTCATTTCTTGTCTCATTAATGAAGGACACAGGCATGTCCAAAAAATCTGATTTTTAATATATTTCTTATCATGCTTCCATTTGGTCAAAACGCCTACTAATATACAATAAATGTTATTAGTCTTATTATCAATATTATTATTTTTGTTATTTATATCTCAAATTTCTTTCACAGGCCTGTTATATCTACATATAACATACACAAACACACTCATGTATATTTATATATGTGTGTGTGCATGTGTGTGTGTGTGTTTGTGTGATGATATAATTGGTACCTGATCATATGTACATTTAACACACACACACACACACACACACACACACACATATATATATATATATATATATATATATATATATATATATATATATAAATATTAAATATATTTTCTGATTAAACGTTATTTTAATACATAAAATTTATCTAACTAAATGCTCTGTTTTTTAATTAAACAGTATTAATTACATTTAAAGGCCTGAACTGTGTATAAACAGAAAATATGTTAAATAATTGTCAGACTTAGTCCATTTCATTATTATATATATATATATATATATATATATATATATATATATATATATATATGTAAGCTGGAGTATATTTTTATGTATTCTCTTTAACAGTTTGGAATTGAAACCAGAGTGGCTCCAAGTTCTGCCTCAAGTAAACCTGTGGTCCGAACTGCTGCTGAACAGGTGAGCAAATCATCCACATCATTGGCAAAAGATTGTTTTTTTTTCCTAAAAACCTACCAAATGTTATATATATATATATATATATATATATATATATATATATATATATATACACACATATATATATATACACACACATATATATATATATATAAATATCTCTCTCTCTCTCTATGTATATATATATATATATATATACACACAAGGTGCAATGTGCAAAATTGTCAGCATTTTATATTTTTAATTTCATGCATATGTATTGTATCTGCTAACGCTTTTTTAGCATTTTGAAATGCAGCTAACGCTTCTCCGTCAATCAGTATTTTTGCATTTTTCTTCTTCTGTTTTTGCAGCAAGTTTGTGAGTGGGGTCAAAATTCTGGAACAACCTGGAATAAATCTACGGTAGTAATTTATTAAACCAAGAAATCGTCTTAATTGACGCAGTGATGTCGGTTGCTGAAAGTTTTGTATTGCTGCTACTTTCTCTGGGACAGGTGTGATTCTGTTTTTGTCGATCACATGGCCCAAGAAATTTAACTTTGAAACAGCAAAATCGCATTTGTGGACATTTATCTTTTTAAGCCAAAATGTGCCAGTCTCTCGAAGACTTGTTGAATATGGTATAGGTGTTCTTTTCCATCACGACTAGCGATAAGCACGTCATCGATATATACAAAGGTAAAAGGCAATCCTCTCAAAACTTCATCAATGAGTCTTTGAAAGGTTTTGGGCGGCATTACGTAACCCAAATGGCATTCTGGTGAATTCATAGAGTCCAAAAGGAGTGGTAATTGCAGTTTCTTTATGTCTTCTATTGCTACTGGAATTTGGTAGTACGCCTTAACCAAATCCAATTTTGTAAAAACTGTGGTTTCTTGCAAACCTATGGCGAAATCATGTAAGTGCGGTATAGGATATCTATCAGGAACAGTTTTTGCATTGAGATTCCTAAAAATCCCAAAGGTCGCCATGCGCCAGCTTCTGGTTTCGGAACCATATGTAGCGAAGAGGAGTATGGGCTATTTGAAGGACGTATGATGCCTAACTGCAACATGTGTTGAAATTCGTCTTTTGCTATTTTATATTTGTCCGGATGTAATCTGCGTGGTAATGCGTGTGTAGGTGGTCCAGCTGTGGTGATATAATGTTTAGCAGTGTGACGGATTTCATCTGTATGTGTTAAAGGCGTGGTTAGTGTAGGAAATTTTTTTATCAATTCATGTAGGCCATTAGCCGTTGGTATTGCTGAACTAATTCCCGTTGACTTGTAGATTGAGGTGATTCCTTTTGTTCTTAGGTTTGTGTTACTGTCAATGAGAGAGTATGTAGCCATATTCACTGATAAATCGAAATGGGTTAGGAAATCCGCACCTAGGATAGGTGTTTTCACATTTGCTTGTGTGAAAATCCATGAAAAAGATATTCTTAGACCCAAATCGAGCGTTAGTGATAACTCACCGTATGTTTCTATCTTTGATCCATTTGCTGCCTGCAATGTGTATGTGGAGAATGTAGGCTTTTGTTTCGTATTTGGTGGGATAACACTGATCTGAGCGCCGGTGTCGACTAAAAATAAATATCCGTTACTTCTGTCCCGGATGTAAAATAGACGACTCTCTTGTTTTAATCCAGCAGCTAATGTCGTCTTTACTTGCTGCTAATGTTGTCGTTTCCCTGGTGTTGTGTAGAAATGTGAGAAGTTTTCGAATTGAAGTTGCATGGTTCAGTGCACTTCCTTGCATTTCTTCCAAATTTATAATGATACCAACAGGTATCGTGTGTAACTTGATCTCTGGAGAAAGAGTTCGATCTACTTCGACGTCTGTGTAGTGAGTAGGATCTATTTCTGAATGTTGGACGACAACGCTGAAATTTCTGTGCTTGTATCAGACTCTGTACTTGTAAGCTGAGATTCGCCATTTGCTTATACAGCTGCGACAATTCAGATGACTTGTCTGGTAATGTTGCTGTATCTGTTGGTGCATGTGATGTGGCGTATACATTTTTGTCTTGGTTGTTGTCATGTATTTTGTCTGCTATTTCTGCTATTTTCTCCAGCTGTAAATCATCGGGGAGTGATGCGAGTATCTGTGTTGTATGTGTTTGTAGTTTATCCATCCACAGTTTCTTTAACACCACTTCGGACATGGTGTTGTCTCCTAATAAGGATCGCATTTTTTCTTAAAAGCTGTGAAGGTTTCATATATCCTTGGTTCACATTATTGAATAAGTCGTGTAACCCTCTTTCCTCCGATTTACCGACACGTCTAATAATTGCAGCTTTCAGCTTGTCATAAGGTTTTTTCTTCGGCATGTCATTAAGTAGATCCACTACCTCGGATGCTACATCTGCGGGAAGTTTTTCGACAACGTAGGCATATTTTGAACTTTGCGATGTAATTTTCTTTGCGTTGAAAATTGCATTTAACTGTGCAAACCAAATTTGTACGTTAGTTGGGTTTGTAAGTTGGTAAGTTAATTGTTATAGCGGCTTCCATAGGTTCCGTAGTGTGTATCCATTTTCTATGTGTCTTGATGATTATGGTTATATGTTAAAAAATGTGTTGCTTATTTTGTTGAAGTTTTTTCTTTCAGTTGGAAATTTGCGAGTTCATTTCACGTCGATTGGTCACCACTTGTAGGGTTCAGCGTACCCGGATTAAAGGAGAATTTAATACGGGATACCCTGCCCACAAAATACAACGCAAATTTCAAGAAGAAACAACACGATAAGGAACGTTTATAAAAAATAGAACATTGTATATTTATTATCTTGTGAATATGGTAAAAAAGATTAATGTTTTAGTTCGTTTAAGCAAAAGTGTGATTTTGATAAAAATGTCTGTTCGCTGTCTTTTAACAGAGTAGCAGAATAATGTCTGTTTCTTTTGCTTTGTATAGTTGTAAAATGAAAAGGGGGCGAGCAATTTAAGTTAAATTAAAAGAGTGTGAATGTGGAATAAAGATGAAAGGAAAATGTACTTATGAATTGTTTTGAAGCCAGTTGTAAATTTGTTGTTGTTGTTGTTCCTTCCTACTCCACTGTTCGGGTTGAGGCAGTGTAGAAATTTACTGTCAATCTTCTGTGATCTTTTGCGCCCTTCTCTGACTGACTGACTAGCGACTGACTTGAAAACTCTGTATTTATTGTTGACTTTTTTTTCACACTGGCTCGTTAACTTTTTTTTGGTTTAGCAAATCGCCTCCTTTCATTGGTCCGAAAATTAATTTCACACCTTATTGTGAAATCTTTTTTTGGTCGTTTTGATCCGATTTTGCGGGTGTGCAAATCTACTTTGTGTTTTTTTAGTCATTTGCTGGAATATAGGATTTGTATCCTATAAACAACATGTAAACCCACAGTCCACTACAAAGGCATAATGTGTTGCTCTCATGAAGTTTGAAGTAAATAGTTCTAAATTCCGTTTGCCATAATGCATGTCTGACAAACTCACCTATTTCAGCACATATGCTAGGCCACAAAAATCTCTTGAGCCGACCAAGCATAGAAATAAATACAATATGGGAACCAGTAATAAGGAGTGCCAGAGAAAAGCAATGATAACAACAATGTTGCAATATGTGCTCTGGTAAAAACATGCAATGATAACAGCAAAATTGCAATATGAGCACTGGTAAAAATGGTTGCTGAAGACATTAGGTTTATAATACCCAGAAATTCATACCCAGATATCCTCAAGGACACATGGCACAGTGGATAAAGGCATTGGTTAGATCCAGTGACAGAACCCAAAGAGTGTGAGTTCCCGGTTAAGGTGGAGAACTTTCAGAGGGAAATTAACAGGAGATAACTGATAACTGACATTTATGAAACATGGCACGTGAAACTAGAACAGTGAACGAAATAAAGGGTTGAGTTCGACATTCCAACCACCTGAAGAAGGCCGGAGCATACAACGGCTGAAACGTTGTGATAAATATGGCGACAAAGATGAGGACAATAGTCCGAATAATGTAAATAATATCACCTATTTCTGCTGAGAGACTCCCAATTTCGAGCTATTTATCCTTCCTGGTTTGTAATTAATGTTCTCCCAGTTAGCTGTTAAGCATTGATCTACCAGTGAGTCACACAAATTGTTGAAATTTCTCCATTAAAAAAAGCTGCCAAGTGAAAATACTTCCTATTCAGTCTATATGCAAACTGTTTCACTATTTTGTGTCATGATTTATTTAAATTATTGCAAAAATAACACTAGACTTACTGATTTGTAGTTTGTTTACAAGTGAAACATTGACCTGAAATGGGCTCATGTTTGTTTAAAGACATGCCTCTGTTGGAAATAACTGTTGTGAATTAAAAGAATAATGTTTTAGAGTTAACATTTTGGAACTGATTTGGAATCCTGTTTTTGGCAAAATCTTGTTTTTCTGAAGTTAGAGGCCTAAATCTTCAGGTTTTAAGAGTTCTAAGCTGACAGGCCTGCATAATAAGCATTGAATTTTAACTAACAGTTACACTCATAAAACGTTGGTTTCAGTTGACTGCACTGATAATATTTAAAATTTGGAGGAGTTGTATACACTCATAGCTTTATATGTTAATAGTTGGATTCAAAGCTGAACAAATGGAGTATGAAACTGGTTTTCTAAGAGGAAATCTAGATTGAAAGCAATTGACATAAGTAGAAAGCACTTTTTTTTTATTTTGAAAAGGCAACTACGTCTATTACATCTGTCCAGTGTTGACACATCGGTTGATACTACTACTACTACAACTATTACTAACCTATATATTTATTTCTATGAAAGGAATTTTGTTTTTATGTGCCTCTACTTGGGGAAAAAATCCTATATACAGTGAATGTATTTTTTTTTTTGTTAGCCTAGAGTTAAAAGAAATTAGCTTAAAAAATTTCAGTTTCATAATTTGTTTGACTGTTGTGTTGAGAAACACTTAATGTTGCTGGAGGTGGTGGGGATGTGGATGGGGGGAATTTTTCACGGTATATGATGTTTGTTGCATTGTTGAACTACATCTCCAAGTGATTGGCGCATTTATCAGACAAAAGTCTCTCTCAGACATACATATAGAGAAATTTTCAAATAACAAAGAGAAATAATCATGCCATAAACTCATGGCTAGTTTAAATGTCAAATACATTAATAGAGGCAAATGCAAAAATGTGTGATTATATATGCAATATTTTAAGGCTACTTTGAAATTGAGACATATTTAGGTTGATACAATCAAGACAAGTGCAAGGGTCTCATGCCTTCCTCCAATCTATAATACAGCCCCTAACCCTGAATCTATGATACAGGAGCCCACCACTCTACTACATCTCAGTTCTCATAAGGTAGGGAGACTTCTTAGTTCCTGGGCAAACCAACTACTTAATTTCAACCCAACCATGTAGACCACACGCATACACACATTCACTACAGCTAAGTATATAAAGTTTTCTTTTTTTTTTAAGTTGTCTATCTCTTTACACATAAATATTATTTTACCTTGTCTTTTGTGAGCTATGCTGTTCTTTACATAAATATATATATAAAATCCTCCATGTGTTGAAATCATTTCTTTTGAAAATGTTGAATCCATTTATTTGAAAGTTCTCAACCTCTCTTTGTCACAATTTCAAACATCATCCACACCAAATTAAGCATTTGTATTGTACCTGCTGTAATCTTTCAGTAACCTTCCTTAACCATTAATACTTCTTGTCATTTTTACTCCTGTACATGTTGGCTTGGTGTGTTAGTTATTAATTACCACAGATTTTTAGTTAATTGATGATCATCAATTAGCAGTAAAATTGTGGTGTGCCCAAATATAAAATTAAAATATCAAAATAAAATATTATAAAGAAAATGAAAATGAAAATAAGATATTTGCTCTCCTTAAAAAGCCATATCACTTTTTCTCTTTACCATTCTCTCTCTATATACTTCTCTCTCAACTAATGAGAAGGAAACTCTTATATAAAAAAAAGAAGAAAAAGACTGAACAACTGCCGTGAAACAGAAGTTTGCTAGTCTAGTTATTGTGACTAAAAATCTACCAAAACAAGAGCTACCCCCCACACATAAGTTCCACTATAAAAAAAAAATGGAAAAAGAAAGGAATGCTGGAAAATAAAAGAATTTTGACCAATCAAATGAAGAAAGAGACTTTTGATGTTAGCCGAAACCAAGCTTTGTGTCAACTAGTCTGGAGCCTTTTAAAATTTTATATAAAGAAACATCTGAGAAGCAGCAGCAGAGGAAACAGTCAGAAATTGATCCGAGTTTGTCATGTGAAGCACTAAGCGGTCATGTGCTTAAGAAATTTGTCTGCCCTTTGTGAGATTCAATATAATCAGTACATTTGTGCAGCAACATGTTTCCAAAGTAACCCCATTTCCAACAGCTGCTAACAAGATGACACCTACTATCAAAGTCTGACTTGTAAACTACACCTGTGGCAGAGATAGAGAGAGAGAGAGAGAGTCTGGGAAACACACACACACACACGTATATTTTTTTAGTGAAACTGGAGTAGATTTGAATAGGGAAATTAAATCAGAGCATTTTGTTTACTGATGGGGAAATCTGATCTAGTGCAGAAGTTGTACCCATTGAATCTAGGTCATCAGGAGACAATGGAAATGGTCGAAATAATTTTTATCGATTAAAAATTGAAATAGAGCTGAGTAAGCTAGAAGAAACTTTGGAATTTACATGATTTTGGTTGAAGCAGCCAGAACATCGTGTTAATCGCGTGCGAAGTAGGAGTGCGAGGGTCAGTTATAAGCAGCCGGATTTATCTCTATAAACACGTAGTTATCCTGAAAAAGACAAACAGGGGAAAATTCTTAAAGAGAAAAGAGAGAATTGGACTGGGCGAGCATTGGGAGGAGGAACGCCATTATAACTTTAAGCCCCGCACAGAAATCTTTTCCCTCCATCACAAGAGTTCATATATCGTTCTGAGACGATTTAAAAACAAGATAATCACATACACTATCTCTCTCTCTCTCTCTCTCTCTCTGTCTCTCTCTCTCTCTGTCTCTCTCTCTCTCTCTGTCTAGAATCCAGTGTAGTTTCTTTTCTGTAACCCATTTCTCTTTACTATTCTTTTCTGCTATATAAAAGACATTACCAATTCAACCACTGAATCGATGTTTGTCTGTGTTTCTGCAGATATTAATTTTTTTTTTTTTTTTGCTGCATTCTAAAATTCTTAGCGCAGACTCCCCAGCCGTGTCTGCATCTTCAGCCGACCGTGAGCGGACGGATATCACTTCTGCTTTCTGGATCAAACAAATCACAACGTCGGCAGGAAGCAGGATTAAACCAGCGGACCGGTCGAATAATCTACGGATGCTCAGGGGACCTATGGCCACTCCCTTAAGTTCGGTTAGGACCGAGTAGACACCTCAACCCCGAGAGTAAGATGCCGGAAGTTGAGGGGCTGGGGCGAAAGTGTTAGACACCAACCAAACTGAATATTTTTTTTGCCAAAAAGATTTATGAAGAACTTTTCCCTATTAAAGTCAGTTAAATAAACATATGTTATTTGTTCATATCTTTGATTCTGTTCCTTTATTTAAAGTGTTCTAAATTTTCCGATAAATACTATTAAGGCCCTCTGGCACTTCTCCACAAAATATAGTAGCTAAAATTTAAGTATATAATCATAAAATAATGTTCCTTTTTACATCAATTTATTGATGATAATCATTACTGCTGTGTCATAAATAGGAAAGGTTGACACACAGAAAATAAGAAGTAGTTTATTCAGAGAATAATATGGTACACGGTTGAGAACACAGACTAATGTAATACACAGTTAATCGTTAACACCTCAATATTTACCCAATACCTCCCCACAATGTGGGATGTGGCACAAGGCTTTTTTATGTGGGGCATTCTGAGCCTGTAGGCTCAGGCAAAAATTGCCTGTAGACCCCGTACATAGCATTGGGTAACTGAAATATGGCAACACTTTTGTTCATGGGTAAAAAAACAAGCGAGGGCCTGTATAGGAGGGTTGATCAAATTATTGGGACTGATGCTATCAAAATAAAACAAGACATATCAATTTGACATTTAATCTCTTTTGAAGTAGTTTCATTTTGAAGCCACGCGTTTTATTCAGCATCATTTCCATTGATAGACACATTCCTGGAATTACTTTTTTTTGGATAATGAGCAACTGGCTCATCACATTCTCTTGGATTTCCTCGACATCTTGGAATCTTGTTCCTTTCAAATGGGAGTTGATTTTTGGAAAGAAGAAAAAGTCACAAGGGGCAAGATCTGGGGAATATAGTGGTTGTCAAGCCTATGGAATGTGGTGCTTGGCAAAAACTGCTGTAGAAGCCATGGCCATGGTCAAATAAATAAATATATATTATTTGTTTATACCTTTGATTCAATTCATTTATTCTGAAGTTCTGGTAAATATTACTAAGAACCTCTGGCACTTCCCCTACAATGTAATATTGGCCCTCCTATATGGCCGTAAATGCTGGACAATCTCCTCACAGAAGAGACTTGAGGCAACAGAAATGTGGTTCTACGGAAGGATGCTGAGGATTTCATGGACTGAATATATGAGTAACAATGAATTTTAGAGAAAATGGAAACAAAAATAACGCAGAAGAGAAAGTTGAAATTTCTAGGGTACATAATGAAGAAAGTGGACTTGGAGAATTTGACACTCACAAGACATATTGAAGGCAAGAGAGACAGAGGAAAGCAATGAATAACCTAACGAGTTTGTGTAATTGGTAGGCAGAATAGGGATTAGGAACGATATTAAAAACACAAATCTTAAAGACCTACAAAGAACAGGAAATTGTGGAGAGTCATGATCGCTCAGGATTGAATGGACACAACACATAGAAAAACAATTTGGAAGTCCTTTGTGAAGTAATCCCGCAACGAGTACATGAAATTTCGTTTCCTTGAACATGATTATTATTACTGAACATTGTACGCCTCTTTAACTTTAGGGCGATATTGAGAAATGACTGGATGAGTCTAATCAACCTAATAAAAAAACTAAAAGCATTATTGACCTCCTAGGCCTTGTCACCTTTTTCCTTTTTTTGGGGGGGGGGTCGCCAGTTATTTCATCAATGTGAGAGAATGATTGAACTATGAACTGAGATTATTTTTCACTTTCATTCGAACATTTAAAATAAAATTAATACTTGCATGTCGCATGTACATAAAAGATCTTTTCTTTAGAATTGAATTAAAAAAATTTAGGTCCATGGCGACTTATGGTTTTGCTAGAGCAGTTTTGTTTTGTCACTCACTCAGCTATACAAATTTTACGAAACTAGTGAGTTTTTCCGTAGATAAAATTAGTTTCACTATTTTAGTTTAGTTTCACTATTTAACTCAGGAGAGTTTCATTTTTATCACGTCTCTACAAACAAATTGACATAGTTTCGAGCAGAAGTTTTTAAAAATCGTATTTTCTACACCTCTGCGAAATTGAAAATGTCTGATCCAAATCGAACACCAACAAAGTCCGATACCAAAATTGATGACCCGAGTAGCACTGAAAACATCGATCTTCCGGGCAGTATTAATCAAAATACAAAAGCTTTGCATTCAACTTCTAATGAGGAAAAAGATGACAAAAGTACAAATGATGTAATGGTCACTAATTCGGAATTAGAAACTTTTCCGAATGTTGGAGAAGGAAAAGATGACGAGAAAGTATCCCCTGTTTTTACAAAAGAGAAAGAAGTAGACAAAGAAAAAGATTTAGAAAAAGACCCTGCAATTGAAACATCTTCACCACCCACTGCGGAAGCAACAGCGAAGCAAAATGACGCCCCACTGAAAGAAACAAATAAACAAATAACTGTTGTAATTTCGTCATTTGAGGAATTGACAGAAAAAATAAATTTAACGCCCGAAGAAACAAAAGATGACGAGAAAGTATCCCCTGTTTTTAAAGAAGAGGAGAAAGTATCCATTATAGATGAAGAAAAAGATTTAGGAAAAGAATCTGAAATTGAAATATCTTCACCACCCACTGCGGAAGCAACAGTGAAACAAAATGACGCCCCACTGAAAGAAACAGATAAACAAACAATTGCTGAAGAGAAGCAAGTATCTACAGATGAAGAAGAATTGCAGTTGCGAGATTTAGAAAAAGACCCTGCAAAAGTATCTTCACCACTCACTGCGGAAGTGACAGGGAAGCAAAATGACGCCCCACTGAAAGAAATAGATAAACAAATATTGCAAGAAAAAATAAATTCAACGCCCGAAGAAACAACTCCAAAAAAACTAAAACCAATATGGGCGCAAGAAAAAGGTATTTAAATATAATTTATTAATTATTATTATTTATTTTAATTTAAAAATAATTTTGGAATCAGCGAAAAAAGTTACTGGTGCTTTCTTATGAAAATTAACCCCCTATTCGTGTAGAAAATACCACCTTAAAAAATAAAAAAAATAAAAAAAACCTGTCGTATATTTTCAGGTTTCCGTGCTATCTTAAGCAAAGCCTAAGATGTAATTAATTAATTCAACAAAAAGGAAGAGGAAATGTGATTTCACAAAAAAAAGTTTAATTCTCACGAAATGTTAATCGAATTTCGAATCGAAACAAAGTGTGAACAATTTCTTAAAAACAGTTTTAAAAACTTAAAACGATTCATTCATAAATTCGTGATAGTTTTTAAAAGAAGGTATTTTCGAAGATAAACTACGCCGAAACTTAAACGATCACCCAATTAAGAGCAAGTCGGTCTTCCATACTCGGAATTTTTTTTTTATCGTGGTATTATTCGTGAAACTCGGCCAAAATATTAAATTTCTCATTTAAAACTAAAAGAATTTTGTATTAACGTGAAAGCCTTGTACAAGGTTTTAATAGTTCTAATTTAAAACGATTCTTGATTATAGAAACAAACTTTATTCATAAACTATTGCAGTCAACGAAAATTGAAAGAAAACTTTAAAAACTTTCTTTTTTTTTTTTTTTTTTTTTTTTGTTGGTTTTTCTCGGAAAATATTAAGTTTTCTTTTTTGTTGCTGTTCTTCGAATAGACAGCTTATTTTCAGTTTTTCTCTATATTCAGAATTTGTTATGAAAGTTTAAAAAAAATCTAATTCGTCACAAAGAAAAAAGTTAGACCTCCCATTAAAAGTGAGAAACCAACTTAAAAGAAAATTCGTTATTCTCAAAAGTTAAGTAAATTTAAACATTACATTCATTACAACTTTCAAAAAATTAAAACTTAAATGTCTGTGAAATTTTCAAGCAAAATTAGTTAATAATTATGTTAAGAATAGCTGAAATTAATTTTTTTGCTCTCAGTAAAAAATTTTTAAAATATGAAAAAAATTTTTTCTGTCAAATAATTAATTCTAATTTTTATCCTTATCACTTGTCAAATTTAACTGTTAAAAACACAGGTTTTTTTTTCTCAATTGCTGTTGGTGGGCGTGTTGGAAAATTACTCGTATATTTTTTTTTTCTAATTTGACTCCCTAAAACCTTTTCTTTTACTTTTTATTGTTTTGTAATTGTTATGAAGTAGAGTACTCCCTGGAATAGATTTTGTCATGTTATGGTAGCTCGACTGGCATTGGCTGTGGTGTACTGCTTTTTTGGCAGTGTCTTATTTACATACAATATCACCCTGAACCGAAATAGCCTTATGCCCTTCCCCTACAATACATGTAAGTCGTCCTGTGGTAGAAGCCATCGGTGGGCCTCTAGCGGTCCACCAGTGGTAACATAGATGAGACGAACACACCAGCTGTAAATGCTTGTGTCATGCCATTCTGTGACAGATTGGTAGATTGAATGTAGGGTTTGCCCTACATTCAATTCTTGGGAATCTAAATTCTTTTTCTTTGTGTGTATCTTGATTTCTTCTTATAGGGGACCTAGGTCTGAGTTCATTTTCCTTTTCCGACTCCCTGTCATATTTCTGGTCATTAACATCCATAAATTGTTCAGTTTGATGGAATTTATCTTCCTGATAAATTTGACTGTTGAACCAAAAACTCTGTTTAGCAAAATAAGGAAAGCAAAAGGGCTTAAGACACTAAAGGTCTTGTTTGAGATTTGCAAAGAATTTTATTAAAAAGAGTCTCCAAAGTGGAGTATTAAAGAAATTAACAGTGTAATGAAAACAGGACAAGAGATTCTGTCTAGTAATCGTTTATTCAATTAAGAATGCTACTACTAGTCTACCTGACAAACGAAAATGTATAGCTTTTATAGTTGGATTATCAAGGGGGAGATAATCCATATTCACAACATTCTCCCCCACCAAATTTCTCACTGATAGGGAAGAAAGTCCCTTAAATGTCCAGGCTCCCTATGAGCTCGCAGTGGCTGTCTCGGCAGTCCTTGATTCGTGATCGGAGTACTCGAACAGGGAAGCTCTTCAGTGTGAGCCTGTCTGTGGGTCCTAAAATATCTTGCTCTGAAATGTTTCCTTCTCAGAGTAGCAGGCCCTTCTGCATCAGAGTCAGTCTCTGGATGAACATGTTTATTCGGTGATAGTCCTTTATCTGTCAGGGATTCAGGTGTTGGCCTATCTGAAGTGTCTGATAGAGTCTCAATGGAGACAGTGTCATGATCTGCTGCAGGGGCTTCAGTGTCAGGGGTAGTTGGTCCTTTAAAATCAAGATTGAGTCTTTCAAATGGTTGTGTTGCTTTTATTAAAACGCCCGTTTTGGGTCTATAAAACCGAGGCTTTATTTTAGCACATGTTCGACAAGAATTTGTAATTCTTTTTACCTCCTCCATTGAGAAAGGCAAGTTTCTACACCTCACAGCATGAATCATTCGAGTAATGCCCGGGTGACAGAGATTGTTATGTAGCGTTCGGAGTTCGCCCCTGCTTGATGCTGTACAGCATGCTCTTGATAGTGTATCAGCTGTTAAGTTCTCCTTGCCAGGTCGGTAGCTGATGTCAATTAATTTTTTATTATAAGAAAAACGTCTGCTTCTCACTGCTATGGGTTTGCAGTTTTCAGTTAGGTTTTTGAAAAGTGACTGGTACCGAATTTTTGCTGTCGCCAATCCACAAACTTTCAATGCGGGCATTGAACCGCCAAATGGAATTTCAATCTGTGAGTGTTGCTGCAAAAAATCGTGTCCCAGTATTATTTCGCAACAAGGGTTTTTCATTACATATAATTTAGTAGTTTTATAGGAAACGTCATTAAATAGTAAGTCCACCAAACAATAACCACTTACTTGCGCGGAGACGATGATCGTTTGCCATTGTTACTCTGCTGGGGAGGGTACAAAATACAATTTGTTGGTTTTACCAAGCTTTCTTTGATAAAGTTTTCTGAGCTCCGGTGTCGAGCAGAGCATTTGTAGACCTCCCGTTAATTTTCACTTTTATAATAGTTTTTGAAAGGCAGTTGGGGAGGCGACTAAAGTTGCAGATGCATTTTGGTGGCGTGGCTTTGTATAGAGATTTAGAAGACTTGCATACCTTTGAAAAATGACCAAATTTTCCACATTTATAACAATGAGTATCTCTGGCAGGGCATGAGACTCGTAAGTGTTTAGATAAGCCCGCAAAAGTAGCAGGTGTTCCTTTTTGAGCGGCACTGACCGATTATTCTTGGAGCTTCGTCGGACTATCGTCATGGGGTGGGGTAGGAACAGGTGGGTTTAACGCGGCGCATATGGTGTCTGGCTGTAAATAAGAACTAGACTGCTGTATAGCACTTTTGAAGATATAGGCTTGCTTTCGTAAGCAGTTCTAAGTGTAAGGGTCTTATTCTCAAGAAGATGTTGTCTTATCCGAAAAGTATTACGTAAGCCGTTAATGAAGGCGTCAAAATGTGTTGCTCTTGGGCCTCTAATGCCGTCATTGGGCAGAAGTTGCAATCTTTGCTCAGTATCCGAAGGCTCTTAAGAAATGGTCCAATGTTTCGCCTGATTCTTGTCGGCGAGTCACAAGTAGGTGTCTAGAAAATATCTCATTTTGGGCTTTATGTATGTAGCGTTCAGTACATCGATTGCTTCTTCGTGAGGTAACGCAATCCGAGATAATTTCGTTGACTGTGTGAGACAGGTAGTTGGTTAGGAGCGCACGCTTATTGATGGGACGTCCCGGTCTTTCTGAATGTAGAACCTCGATGAAATTTGTAAATGTCTCCCGCCAATGTTTCCAGCACTTGTCAGCTGAATCGCTTTCTGGATCTGTGGTAAGTCGCTCCGGTCGCATAAATTGTTCCATTCTTAATTGAATAAAATGTAATGAAAACAGGACAAGAGATTCTGTCTAGTAATCGTTTATTCAATTAAGAATGCTACTACTAGTCTACCTGACAAACGGAAATGTATAGCTTTTATAGTTGGATTATCAAGGGGGAGATAATCCATATTCACAACAAACAGTGTAAAAAGATACAATAATTAACACAAAAATAAAAAGCAGCCTTGCAACAATTTCCTGTATGCAGTCACGAGAATAGTTCTTGTCACCTAGTAACGTACAAAAGGAGAAAGAAGTTGGATTGAAACCTACCCAAAGTTCACAAACAAAGAAAATAGTTCTAGCAAAATAATGAGCGGAAAATTATCTCTAGCAAAGTTTGTGCTTTTGGGAAGCAAAAGATGTTGTTTTATAACCTGTGTAGCAAAAACGTGATGCATGACAAAGTTCTTGTGAAGGAAGTTGAAAGAATGTGGAGGAAAAAGGTTCCTTGTAGAAAAAGAGGCTTCCAGTCAAATAATCTAATTTCTCTGGCAGAAACTAGGTATTATTAAAAGACTTCTAAAAGAAGAAGGATGCTGCTCTTACCACATTCAACTAAACAAAGGTAAAGTTGCAAGTAGAAATTCTGGCATCTGCAGAAATATGATGACTAAAAACAAGACCTAACCAAGAATTTGGAGAATTCTCTGGAAAATGCCTTTTGCAATATTTCCTGGGTCTTGTCTTAAGCTGGGATGAGAAATATCTTCTTTTTTTTTTTTTCAGGCCTATCAGCCTTTCGTTGATATTCAAAGAGGCACTGTAATAAATTCAGCAGAAAGACAAGTCGACGTCCGTTCTTAAAGGCGATCGTGATAAAAGAAAGAGTCCTTTTTTTGCAGACGCAGAATTCAATAACCTAGGACAGGCTCCCATTGGTCGATGTAGACACGTGTTCAGAGCTGGCCCCAAAAAGGGATTTCCTCTGGGAATTATCATACCCAAATGATACAAGTATTGAGTCCCAAACAAAGGAGATAACAAATTTCACAAGGTCTGAAGTAATCATACAACTCACACATGTACGTTTATATGTAAAGAAATAACATATTTTCGATATCTTCCCATC